AGTCTTTAAAGTTTTGTTTGTAAACCTTTTTGGATAGTTACACAGGGCCGGATCAGACGCCAAGGTCATTATAATAAAATTTAAAAAAAAGCTTCACAAAAACGGCTTTTAAAATTTATACTCAACATTCTACTCACGAACTGGGAGTTTTCAAGAAAAATATCAATCCGTAAAATAACTACCTAGGACATTAGTGAAAAGGAGGAGAAAATTTCATGTTTTTTACTAACTTACGATACCAACTGAGAAAACACTTGATAAATTTATTTCGGTGTATTCAAAAAGCTAGGAACTCGCTCGCGCTCGGTCTGCGATACGGTTGTTAAGCAACTTTCGCATTGGCTGGTCATAGAATGGATGACCGAAATTATCTCTAACTCCTTCGTGCTTCGGAAAGCACGTTAAGTTGTTGATTCCGACTGCATTTACATTCGTTAATACCAATACGCGCTGTAACCCGTTTAGTGGTTCATGGCCCATTCTCCCTATTTGATTCGATTCCATCCATAGGGAAGGCCTGAGCCCCAGCAGTGGGTCATAAATAGGTGATGTGTTCTAAAAACAAAAAAAAAACATTCTTGGCTCTCTAAAAACATGGCCGTTTAGTTCCATACCAATTGACGTATCGATGAATAATAATCTATTTATTTTTCTAGTATTAAAATCTGACTGAAATGCAACTGCACACTGCGCGCGAGCACGTTTTTACTGTTCACCATAAGTTCCTAATTGCGCGCTTCATGTCGCTAATTGAACGGTTATAGCGGCAACCGGTCCGCGTCGTGTTTGTTAAGCGATTACGCGCCTTATTAACGACCGACCTTTTTGCACCGATATCAATTGAATTCTAATTGAAGGTGGTACGGAAGCAGTTCAAACTTTTTGGAATATTCGTATTTCAAAAATGGAACAGTCTTGTAAAGTGAAATACCTAATTGAAAGATAGATTTGTTCAATACAAGTCGTCGATGAAAAGTCTCTACTTCATTAGTTGACAGTCAAGAGTTGATGTTAGTGTTCTAATTCGATGTATTTTTTTATTTGATTTAGTGCTTGAATACCCCCACAAAACTAAACCATATTTAAATTTCGAAAAACTAAAATAAACACTTTCAGCTTAAGTCCTTATTCCGTCAATCGATTTTCAGCCTTAATGTCGATTTAAACTTCAAATTGAATATAAAATTGGCCTTTTCTAGTACCTAAACCAATATGCTGATGTTTCTAATAAAAAAAATAAGTTAAAAACCCAAAACATTAAAATTAAAATTTGACTGAAATTAAAACGTCAAATCTGAACACTAAAAACTACTACCTCCCCTTAAATTAAAATTTTAAATAAAAGCTTTTGTAGTACATACATCGAGCGCGATGAAACTTAGAATGATTTTATAAATAAATCAGCATTTTATTACTACTTACCACATTTACAAATGAATGTCTCCATGTAGAATCAAAAGCTGACAACGTTCTCGCGTGTTTATGAGCTGAAGGGGCGATAAAACTTCCATCATTGTCTTAGCATCTTGTCGCCGTCCCAAGAGCGCGGATAACAGAGCGTGGCCCGGTGAAAGACAATTCTAACTTTTCATTTCATTGCGACAGTTACTCTTATTTCAGTTTCCTTTAACCGACTACTTTGTTACATTTAGTTAAAATGCTAAGTAGAAGCCGTTTTCTTTTTATATTACCTTTATGACCTGAAAAAAGGACATTATATTTGAATAAAATCGATTAACTGCTAAATGAAGCTCTTTTCCTTTTTGTTCTAAAGTTTATTGGTTTTAAAATGGTCTTTTATCATTTTTTATTGTTATGGTAAAAAATGCTGTAGATATTTAGTATTGATACGTATATTTTTGTTGTCGTTTCGTCACAAGGCAACCAGTAGATTAACTAGCGCAAAAAAACGGTCTCAAAAATAACCCCCTCGCGAGCAGCTGCATGCTCAAGGCAAACCGCCCGCTTCTTTTAGGCCAAGTTTTGCAACATAAATCGAGATTTTTTTTGTCCTCACTTAAGTATCTAGAGCTTACAATGCATACGAAGCTTAAGTGAAGTCTATTTATGGTAAGTCGAACGCCGGCTGTATTCAATCGAGATGAACGTTTCGTTCTAGTTTTACGACCTGATAAACAAAGTACTTATTATGATAAATCAGCTTCTTTTTTTTTTCTGTACTTTATTTTTGTATTATTGTGTTTTTTTTAAGTCAATAGCAGAGGCGGACTTACCTACTTTAGGGCTACAGACAAGGGTCACTCGGCCACAAAGGAAACCCTGACGTATATTGAAAACAAAAGAAGATAGTTTTTGTGAAGTTAAAATAAAAGTGGAACCTGTGGATTACTATTCCTTTAGTTGCTATTTGTATACACTCTAAATAAGGGTCGTTGTATACCTACTATAATATTACATCAGTTTTGGGCAGACCCTATGTCGTAGTTTTTAATTATTTATTAAGCAAAATGTAAAAGCAGTTCTACTTTTCTTATGCCGTATACATATTTTATTTATAGCCGCTTATTTGTATTATCCCAAAATACAAAGACCTCCGAATTTTTTACTTGTTATGTCTGTCCGAAACACGTCATGCCTATGATTTTTATAGCTTACCAAATTTTGGTGTGATCCTGTTAAAAAAAGTCAGAGTTTGTCGCTCCAAAGGTCAAGAAGTCCGTAAAGATACAGCAAATAAAATGACTGATTTTGCGCTTAACATATTTAAATTCATGTTCTGTTGTAGAATAGGGCCTTGGATGTTCTATAAATAACGCGAATGAACGTCTTTGCCCATTGTGCGTACGTGATAAAAGGCATATAGCATTCATTCATAAAAAGCTTGCCTTCTGTCCTATTTAGCATATTAAATGTTAACATAATTATATTAATCACCTTATACATCACGTTTTATTAGTTAATAGCCTAATAAATAATACTAATAAAACATATTGAGAGTAGACTGCAATGTTATTAGATTACAGATAAAATAGACAAGGAAATTGATATTTAAAAAAACACTGATGAAACGTTTCTACAAATAATAGCAATAGAGCAAAAGATAAACAAACAAGTGCGAGTTGGCCACGCGTACTAAGATACCGGACCGAAAGCGAGCCAAAAAAAATCACGTTTGTTGTACAGGAGTCCTCTGAAATATTCCTTTTATTCAGGTTTTTATATATTTGTTGTTGAAACGGCAACAGAAATACATCGTCTGTGAAAATTTCAACTGTCTAACACAGTTCACGAGATACAGCCTGGTGTGATACAGACAGACAGCGAAACCTTAGTGATAGGGTTACCGTTTTACCCTTTGTGTACGGAACCCTAAAAAGTGAAAAATTACATAAAAAATCAAATTAAAAAATTACATGTGTCCAAAGAGCCTGCCAATATTCTGAGGCCAATGCTTTTGTGAACAACTGCTTATTTACATTAAAATCGTCAAGAATAAAAGTTTAAACAGGTTCTAAAAGGGTTTAAAACACCTTCTTTGCAATTCACATTTCCCACATGACGGTTTAAAAGCAGGTATTTAAGAGGTGTTAAATTGATAATTATGATAAATGATGAATATGGATAACCACGGTATTCATATAACCTTGGTAGGCTTCCATAATGAATTAAAAAGTTGCCATACCGTAATATTTAAATGGTAGAATGGTACTAATGGGATTACACTTTGGAAACACATATTTTTTATTTTCAGCTAAGTTAAAAAATTACTACAAATTTAACAGGTAAATACTTGTATTAAAAAAAAAGATCGAATATACCTATCTACCTACTTCTAGTTATATTAAATGGATACAAAAGAGTTTTATTTCCTTGTTCTATATATAATTTCCATTTAATAGCATAATGAATGAATTGCTATTAAAATATCAACCGACCAGGCAACAATGATAAGAAATAATACCATAGAAATTAGAAAATATACATAAATTTTCGTTTTGTCATAAAAGCGGATGAAAGCAATACTTAGCAACAAATGTGAACGTATTTTATCTTTGCTGCTTAAATTAATATCGTTATTTACACGATGTAAGGATAATATATTAAACCATGAAATCATGTTTCAAAACAGTAAAAAAGCTACTTTCATGGAAATATTAAGATATACGGCTAATAAAATACGATCCAGCTGACTGGTCACATGAAAATATTTTCCTTATTTACCCGTAAGTATTGTTTCTGTCATAAATAAATCAGTGATTTATGATTTCCAATATAAAATTCATTTCTTGAACGAATACGTATGAATACAAGCTAGTGCCGCCTCTAGCGACATTAATAACGGTATTGCGGCACGCTAGCGCTCACGCGGGCAAATGTGGAACTACCTCATTGGTGGTGTTGTGTACCGCGCTTTAACATTCCATGAATTTTAAACAATAATACTGAAGCTATATTAAATTTATATTCCTATTTATTATTATGACTTCCGAGAGCTGCCTATGATTAAAAACTACGTTTTCAAATAAAATTTGATAGCTTGCGCAACGGGATGTGGTAGCAACCGCAAACTATCGCATTTGGTCGGACATTGCGTCATTCCAACCAACTTACGAGGGCTGAAAACATTGTTTCCAAAGGTTTTTTTTAAGATAAAAATGACAAAAGAAAACTGTAGCGTAAATTTTAAAAGAAATATCCTAATAAGCAAAATAGTAAATAAATATGAAAGTGTGTTTTATCTCCAGTCAGTTTAAAGTGGATTCGTATTTACCCAAAACCCAAAGGAACCAAGAATGACAGATGCGACTTTTTATAGTTGTTTCTGTATGTTTTTTTTTTTCATAAGATGACGATAATGGTAACTTGAGAAATGTATTGTCTATTCTGAAACTTATTTTAGATTCTAATTAGCAAAAGTACATTGCTTTTCCTGCTTTAATTTATACCGTGACAAAGGCCCAGTTCGTTGAACTCACAACGAAACTATAAAGAAAAGTTCACTTATAAAAGGTTTTAAACGTCATATTCTATTGTTGCAGGCTACTACCAGCCAGCGGGGCCACTTATCAAGGAGACCGGAGCGGACGCCGAACGAGCCCTGGCCCGATACCACCCGCAGCCACATTATCATGCGCCTCACCCATCAGTCAGTATCAATCGTTGTTCTTGTTTATACTACTTAATCTTCTTCTTAAAGTGCCTCTTCAAATAGTGAAGGTTGGCCATCGGCTTCTTCCCATTCCTAGTTCCCGTGATTCGGAATGCTTCTATTCCCAAGAATTTTGCCAATCATTATAACTCGTATTTAATAACAATGTAACTCGTACTAATTAACAAATTAACATGACAGATGAGACCCTATTCTGTTTGTCCTCTCAACATTCGGAAAATTTTTAATCTGTTTTATAATCGTATCTGAGAAGAACATATGTGCATTAGAGGCAGTGTCAGGGGGCCAATTCTACTAAATAAATTTTGTTTTGATCGAATCGTGGAATTGTACTGGAATTGTATCGTATGTCACTTTGTAGAATAGGAAAACCATTAAAAAACTGTAGTTTCGTTCGGTTTCGATCCGTTTCCAATTCGATTTAAACAAAATTTATTTAGTAGAATTGGCCCCCAGGTCCTATCTCCGTGGCATTATAAACTATGAAAAATCCTTTTCCTTGGAGTCGTGTTAGCATTTCGAAAAAAGATGAAATTTCGTTTTCGGTTATAGACAGAACATGCCCTCAGGTATCCCTAAAGACCGTCACATATCTGACGGGAGATCCGGGATATAATTGACTAATTTAAAAAATCTGTTGCAATCCCTTTCAATTTCACATATAAATGAAATCCACGCCCATCATCTGGATGGTTGGAAGTTCTCAACTGTGCGTTTTTTCTAGAAGTTTTCTGCCTCGCACAGCCAAACTTTGGAACAGTTTGTCGCCAGCGGTATTTCCGGACCGATACGACCTTCAAACTTTCAAGCGTAGAGCTTATTCGTCCCTCAAAGGCCGGCAGCGCGCTTGTAGCTCCTCTGGTGTTGCAGGTGTCCATGCGCGGCGGTAATCACTCACCATCAGGTGATCAGTCTGCTCGACTGCCCCCTATTCCATAAAAAAAAAGTTTGTCCAATTGGAAACGCCTAAATAAAAAAAAGCGAAAAATACTTAGAAAAAGCTATTGAGAAAATGTCAAACGAAATAGTTGAATGCTAGCTGCATTCTTTCGAAGAATTTAACAAAGTTTTTATTATGATTCTCATCATTCATTGCAAAAGCGATCGCATCTTTACAAGTTACATAATACCAAAAAATCTTTATCACGATCATTTTACCGTTGAAAATGATTGGGATACATTTCAAAATTAGACATTATCCGCCGTGTAGCGTGTCATTCCATGATATACGCGTTGAATCATTCGTCTAGTTTGTAAGGTTGAATGTCATATCATATGTTATTAAAGTCCCCTTAGAGCAGCACAAGCCTTCCCTAAGTCTCAGTTATGGCTCTTCAAATGAAAAATGACATTATTTACATCAGATTAATGTCTTTCTTAGATCGATTTAAAAGTTTTAATTTGTTGATAGTTAAGTTTAAAAATTATTACCAAAATTTAGTATTTTTGGTAACTTACGTGCTGTTGTGTATCTATATATACCTATAGTATACCATCCATGATGTGATGATATCGCTAGAACTATTAAACACTTACGACTATGTATATGTATACGTATATATAATTGAATAAAAATATATATTTACTATTATAAGTTTAAGATTACAGAACAATAAAGATCAAACGTTTGGGAAAACTAATGTTTTGAAGACTACTTTATTACCTCAATTTAAATTTAAACTTTACGACCTCTGAGGTTAAGTGGCTTTTCCAGTAGACCTTTTTGCTTTGAAACCATAACAAAATAATAAATTCTTTCCCACCACCAAAACCGAAAAGACAATCTTTTTACTGTTTTCTTTGAAATCGTCTCATACGTGTGAGTTTTATCGTCATTGTTTATTTATTCAGGTGTTGCAGCAGTACGGCGCGCCATACTACCCCCCAGATTTGTGCTATGGACGGTATTACAGGCCTTCAGGTGCCTACCACATGCCCCCACCACAACCTGATGCACCGGTGAGACATATTATATTGTTCATTATGCAATACATCTGCATAATATGTTACATTTACTATTGGTCTCCATATTTAATCCCTAATTTAGTGTAAAAACGTAGCTTGTTAATAGCTGCTTTTTGTTATTACAAATAAACAAAATCAGTATCTTTTTAATTAGTTTTTGAGATGCTTTCAAAACCAAGTAAACTATCCCTAAATATAGGAATATTGAATGCCGCATACATCTATCTAACGTGTCATCATAATCAGCCCTTTTACGTTCACACTGCAGGGACACAGGCCTTCTTTGTAGATGGTTAAGGAGGATGAGCCTACGCGCTGGTCCAATGCGGATCGGAGGGTATTAACGACTGCAAATGCAGCCGGGACCAACGGTTTAACGTGCCTTCCTTAAGATAATAATTTTTGGGTTACCCATGCCGTGACTGACCCTTGCGAATGTTGAATCGCGGGCCGCGGCGCTTGTCAACTACGTCACCGAGCTACCTAGCTATTATCGACATCTAATTAAAAACCGGCTTTATTAAGTACGTAGGTTATAATTATTAAAAATGTTAACAGATCACTGGTCTGTTGAGTTCATCAATTCTTGAAAACCAGCATTACTTAGCACTTCGTGTAATTAAGTTATAATGAAACTCATTTATATTTCAGATGGTGGGAGTGGGGAGTGAGCCTTACCCACCGCCTCAGTATTACGGCACACCGCCGTGTTACCAACACTCTCCACAGAGAATACCATACGTAGGTCAGTGGCGAAATTAATTTAAAAAGAAAAAATATTTTATATAAACTCAAAAAGTTATCAAGCATGCTCAATAAACAATGAATCTGAATCAGTTATTCGTTAAACCCGTTTTTTCTTAGCTTAATTTTAAGCACTGACATTCGTTGACCCGTAATTCATAATTGCCTTAATGAATCTCAGGTACCCCAAAACAAACACAAAATTCGTTTATTTGAAGATAAACGCGCGCAGATCACCGACCGATCCCAAACTTTTTTCACGGTGAAACCCTTTTGGAAACTAAATATTTATTCGTCAACCTCCGCAGCCGAGTGGTTCGCATGCCGGTTTCAAAGTGTCGCCATTTCTGGAGTTCCTATAATCAGTAATGAGGTCAATGTATAAAATTAACATTGTTTCGGGTCTGGGTGTTGTGGTACTTTCGTTGTCTCAGATACTCTCAGATACTCCATAATACGGGTGGCTTTAGCTACTCAACTGAGAATCTATATTATTATTAATTTTTATTAATTTTATGTATTCGGAGCCCTAAAATGAAACAAAACCTAGTTTTATGTGTACTGTACATTCAACAAAGTAGCTTCCCAGTGTCTGTACGCTGTAATATTTTAAACTTCATACACAACTGATTTTCATGCCTTTTTCATTTATATACAGAGTGATTCAAGTGGAAGCGACTGGCGGAAAGCTAATTAATAATAAATTACATACATATTACCTTTAACTCAATTGCCGACAAAGTATGCTTTGCGAAGTCCGCGGTTAAATATCACCGCGGAACACAGCTGAGACGATGCTATTATAGGTATATATATTTTACATGTATGATTATAGTTTAAATGAGCTGCTAGCGTTAGTCAGCGATAATTTATATCCACAAAATTCTATTTATATCAATCGAGTAAGTACGTCACATTTCACAACACATCCATCACTCTTTACATTGTTTATTCGTTTATGTGGGTAGATTAACGTTGAAGGTATACACTTCTTTTATACTAATTTAAATTAATTGTGTTATGGCTCACGTATTCATTAAATGATTGATTTCTAATAAATACTCTAGAAATAGAATTATTATATTGATTTCTTATATTTATATACGCACTATCCATAATTGAAATAAAACGGTTTCATAGTGTTTGTATTTAGTTTTATGACGTTTCGGACCCTTTACAGGTTCCGTGTTCACATAAGGGTCCGATCGTTAAAAAGTTGTTTCATTTAATAGCATTATTACTTATTATTATTGATTAGAGAGTTTTCCCTTATCACCTTCTGAGTCACATTCAACCTTCATTATAAACTGTTGAAAGTGGATATATTTTTTTTAAATAAATAATTATTAGACAACTACGAAAAACGATTTACTTAATTTAGTCTTATAAGAAACAACTCACGCGCAACTTTTAGCCTCCGTCTGAAAATCAGCGTCATGACGATAAGATTTTTGTTGTCGTGATATATGCTGAGACGGAGACTTTAACTACTGTGGCACAGCTTATTAGCCAATAATAGTTTCTTTTTTTTATATGATTACCACTTTTGTATTATACTGTGCAACAACGTGGGAAATAAACTTTTTTATTATTATTAACCCAAATTCCAAGATGAGTCGCTAAAGCTCCCGTATTAGGAAGTATTTGAAGAATATACCACAACACTCAGATCCGAGACAATATGGGTAAGTCCATATTCAACATTGACCGATCGGGATGGAACCCGGGACCTCAAAGATAGCGACACCTTGAAACAAGCGTGCGAACTACTTAGCTCGTCACGGAGGTCGTCATTTCTTTTACAAGTGGCCTCCTTTATTATTTTGTAAATATTTTTAAGACTTTATATGATAATAAATAATTATTAATATGTTTTTTTATGCGGACGCATTGATAGTTAAAACCAATTCTGAGTATCGTGTTTTCTGTTTGATCACAGAATATAGATGCCCTTGCCCACTCAACGCGTGTCCAAAAAACGTCCTTATTGGGCCCGCTACTGGTAAAACCCCGACCGGTGGCGGCCCAGCCGACGTCCCTTCGGCCCTCGCGCCGCCCGGGGGTGCCTTCCGAGCGAAGGTGCGGGCGTGCGCCCTCGACGCTGTCGCAGATACACATGGCAGCGGAAAGGTAAATATTTAAGCCGATCGTTAAACCATCAATCTGGATCGTGATCAGGTCAAAGTTTTGATGTAAAAATCTAATTGTCTTGATAATGTGTGATCCATTTCAATCTAACATCAATCGTCACATTTCATGATCAATCTGACATCAATCTCTTCAAGATCAGGGGTTGATTTGACGCCTAGTCTTTCCTTTTTGTTTATTTTAGTAACTTTGAAATATAATAAATTCTTAGTTTTTAGCGAAGTCGTCGCCCTGAAAGTAATGGTTGAAACAAAACTTAGGGCGTAAAGGCCTTCTAGAATCAATACACCACTATATATTTGTCCGGGCCTTAAAAGAATATAACTTCACTGAAACGTATTTTTTTGATGATCTACTATGCAACGAAGGTAGCAGTTGACACTGCCTCTTATTCATAAATAAAATATTCACGAATATTATTTAAAAAAATAATATATAGGGATGATTCGAAATTTTTCCATTTCTTTTGTGGATAAATAGAGACGGGCCAGATTGAGTTATTTAATATATCTTTGAGCTAGGTTTTTCTAAGTGTTTTATTATATTTAATGACATATTTTTTTGTTTACGGATGTTTAATTAGTAACCTAAATAAAATCACCACAAATGTGGTAATACCGAGTAATACCAACGTTAATGCTGTCAAGAATTATCCCGTTAATTAGGAACACTTACTTAACGCGATAATTAAGTAATAGCATTTCTTGTTCTAGGCCGAGACACACTAAGTAAAAATGCATTTATTCGCTCATTAGTGTAGCTATTAACGATTATGTGTAATCAACACGAGCTCGTTCATAGGACCCTCCACTGGAATCCGAACCACCGGCCGCTTCGGACGCACCACACCCGTGTCCGCTACCAGCAATAGGAGGAGCATCACCAAAACGCGAGCTTTACGACGTTCGCGAGAACCTGAGGCTATCGGGGGATATTCCAGGCCCCGCCGAGGCTATAGGTCCGCCCTCTCCCGCCAGGGGATCAGCTGGCGCGTGCGCCCCGCAACCACCACCTGCCGCGCCACGTCGCGCCCGCCTCGGGAAAGCTATGGTCAGAAGATCACTTGCCGGAGACGATACTGGATTACTTCTAACGGTCCCTCAACCCACCCTGACTCAACACAACGACGCGGACGACGATGTACTCGCTATCTCACCCCCAGTCTGCGCACCAATAGACCTATCATCTTCCGACGAAAGGTCGACCCCACTAGTTGATGTGAAAAAAGAAAATGAAGGACCCACTAATGCATTATCCAGAAAAACTGATGCTCAGGCTTTAAGAGAACATAATTGTACGACGGTTTCAGAACAGACGGATGTGATAGATACGACGAAAGCTGTGAAAAGGAGATATTCGAAACCAAAATTAGAAATCGACATGAAGGATACACAATTAGAAGACAGCTGTAAAACTAACGGTATTGGTGAACATGTAAAATTACAGAAACGAAGAAAAGTATCAGGTGACCAAACCGATGTTCGATTGGAAACTGTCACAAAGGAACCGAAGAAAAGAGCGTCGCCAGCTAAAAGGACACCCAAATCGAACTCTATCGAAAAGAAAACTGCTAAGAGAAAATTAGAAAGCAATTCTAGTGGACCCAAAGCGAAGAAACCACTCGTAGAAACCATTGCAACTGAAGATCCCAGACTGAAAAATGTAGCAGCGGTGTCCGAAGAGTCGCTTACGACAAAACCTAAAACGAAGAGTGCACTGCTGCTTGACAATTTGATAAGAAAAAATAGCATCGACAGGGTTGACTCCAAAGGTTATGCTACCGACACAAAATTAAATCCAGCCGAACTTTTCCTTAGTCCCGACGAAAATGTTTCCCAAAGCTGCTCAAAGAAAACTTTAAATATCAACAACAACGTAGTGGATAACGGAAGTGCACCTACGCCACATAATGGCGTACAACCAAACACGATCGCTGCGGTCAGCCAGCTAATAGGAAAGAAACTTGCTTCCAAAAACGCATGTAAAGTCGAAAAAGTGGACTCAAAAATAACGCACAACATTAAATCAGTATTAAAATCTACGACACCGAAACTCGAAGAGGATCATAAAAGCTCAGAGAGCGAAACGAAGATCGAGAAAGCGGGAGTCACGTCCGTCGCCAAAATAGAAACAAACACTGTGAACGAGATAAAAGAACCAATCAAGAACAAGTGCGAAAATATAGTAGAAAAAGAAAAGCCGAAAGCACAACCACGACCGTTACCGGAGAACAAAACTGAAGTGACGGAATCTCAGAAAGTGGAGAACAAGGAGGTCGAAAGCAAACCGAGCGACACGAAAGCGAAGCGGTCGAAGCTCGTGAACGGCGACATGAAAGGAAAGAGCGTAGAGAAGGTGGTGAAATTGTTAGTATCGAAAAGGCCTGCAATAAAAGCGGATGAAGCGACGACTGTAGTCGAAGAGGCTTGCGCGGGAGTAGGGTCGGGGGGTGCGAGGAGGACTCGGAGGCGACGGAGTGGGGGACACTTGAGGCGGCACAGGAGACCACCCGCACCGCTAGCGCCGCCAGACCACGAACCGAGGGCGCCTCCACGCTGGAGCAACGGATGGAACTTTGACGGAGAACACTATTTGTCCAAGGTCTATCTCAGTGTAAGTAACCATTCTATTTTTTATATCATATCTTATTTGCCAAAATATAATCATCCTACATATTTTTTAAAGTAAGAGCTTCATGAGATAGCAGGGCTACGCCTCTTCAAAAATACTATTTGTTTGCGCATAAAGAAAATAAGAAATAAAGGGTGATAAGAGAAAGGGAGAGAAGACTGCTAGTCAGCTGATAAAATTGAGCGGCAAAAATTATTGCTAATATTGTAAAGTTTCTTAATATCGCACCTCAGCTTTTAATTTTCGTAGAGAAAAAGCGCCATACGAAGTTTTTGCCCCGTTAAAAAAAACTCGTAGATGGTGGTGGACCTAGTGCATTTTTAAGCATCTTTCATTACGCATATTTTGATGTATAGCATTGTGAATGCAAAATTGAACAAATATAATAATTAGAACAAAGTTTCATCTTTATTGAAAGTTTAAAATATTTCTAAAAATATTGGTTTCGGCTGTTTGGTTGGATTGCCTGAACATTGATGAAAATACGCTCTGTAGTAGCGAAAAAGTGACAAGTACTTGAAAAATTCCTCAGCCCTGTTAGGTCCCGGGTAGCTCAGTGGAGCAGTCGCCCGGATTGCGAAAAGTCGTATCCCATCTCACAGTACCAGCGACAAAGTGGAATTTTTAATTAACAATGTTCCGTTACAGAACGACTCGCGGCTAGACCGCACGGCGCGTTGCTGGGCGCGCATGCGGCACGAGAGCGGCGACAGCGTCGCGCGCGGCGACTGCGTGCTGCTGCGGGCGGCCGTGGCGCGCGCGCAGCCGTACGTAGCGCGCGTCGCTAGTCTGTGGCAGAATCCGGACGACGGTCAGTTCGCTATATCAATAGGGTATTAAAGGAATTCACCAATCGAATAAAAATCTTTTTCAATCAGCCATCTACGCAATAATTTTTTTAAAACGAATAGCCGGCAAATCTTTATTATCATTAGGTATTTTATTAAAAACAGTTTTACACATAAAGTGACAAATTTTTTATTTCTATTTTTTTTGTTTTGGGTATCGATGTGTATATGACATTAATATTTCTGGGAAATTTGGTGTAATCATCAATAAAAAATAAAGTTTCAATTTCCAAAATCGCGCGATAAACACTGTCTGTCATACGCCGCCATTACGCCGCGTATGATGTCACAAGCTAGTAAATAAACAAACCTCATCATACTAAAATTATCAACAGGAAACCATATTTACTAGCGAGTCTCAGATAAAATAAAAGTGGGCGATATTATATTTAAAAATGAATAATCAGAGTGAGTTTTAGAGATTATTGTGGAGAAGCTGTTTGTTTGATGTGTAGGTTAAGTTTATTCGATATCGTCACTATTGTTAATAGTTAGCAATCAAATAAATTTTGTTAGTACTCGTATTTAGTAATGGAACAGGTCTATTAGTTAAATAAATTTTGATTGTATTTACATTCTAAACGACTGTTTGTTTTCCTGAATAAATAAATAAAAAATAAAATGTCAGAGATTGCATACATGTATCGTTCGCCTCCTTATATATCAACGCACAGCCGGAACTACTGTACCAAGAAACTTGAAATTTGGTACAGGGGATGTAAGTGAACACTGAGAAAGGTTTTTTAGAAATTCAACCGTAGGCGAAGCTGGGTGAATGCTGCTTATAATGGCTCTTCAATCGTTATAGGTGAAATGATGGTGTCTCTGGTCTGGTACTATCGGCCGGAGCACACCGAGCGCGGCCGACAGCCGGCGGACGCGCCCGACGAGGTATTCGCTTCCCGGCACCGAGACGCCAACTCAGTCGCCTGTATAGAGGACAAATGCTACGTACTCACGTTCAATGAGTACTGCAGGTAATATTGGGATCAGTTTTAGCGATAATAGGGAATATGCATACTTTTGGAAAATGTTTTTATATGATAATTTACATATATAACTGTAAAAAAATATCCGGCACCGAAAAAATATTTTTTTGTAAAATTAATAATTGATAAAAATAAGTAATAGCTACAGGCAGTTTAAACACCGAAATTTTTGGCGCTCTTGTCGTGACGTCAAAGTACACGACTAGAGATATGACATTTTAAATCAATATGGAGTTTGAATGATTGATTATTATTCAATTACCCAAATCGATTAACAACTAATCGATTTATTTAAATTATAATAGACTTTTTTAATAAATCATATAGTTTACCAAATTGATGAAATATAAATATAAGCCTACATCATTTAAATTATAATCTGTTGTTTATTTTGCTACATAATACATTGATGTTATTACATCGATGTCAACTTTTTGTAACAACGACATCCCTATACGTGAACATTTTTGTCACATCCGTTCTGACAAGTAGCATGCCGTTTGAATATTTTGAAGTTACCGCATTTTTTTTTTTGCACTTTTTAGTAATTATTTTTAGGACGAAAACGAATTTATGTTAAAAAATATTAACATAGACTTTATTCTTAAGCAATAATTATCGTAATAAAGTATATTTAACCCTTTTTTGAATCAGATGCATATTCCTTATTATAACAGAAAAATATTAGATGCGATTTTTTTTTCACTCAAATTTAACCATAAATAGTTTATCGGGTCAGACGTAATCAGTTTATTAGATAATATTTCAGATCCTTTAAATTCTAAAGGTATACAAAGTTTTTGGTCCTTCGAGCCGGATGTGTTACTTTATTTAGTTGCAGATTTAACTAAATTATATTATTTATTGATAGGTATAGGAAACGGCTAAAAGCGGCGGAGGAGGGCATCACCATACCGCCTTCACTAGTGCCGCCATTGCCGGCGAGCGAGGTGAATCCGGCATTCGCGCCCAACGACTCGAAGCTACCACCCTCCGTATCGCCGGAGCTCGTCCTCTTCTGCCGCAAGATATACGACTTCCGATCCAAGAAGATTCACGTCCCCAACAAATGAGCGTACCATCCGCTAGTTTGGATCACACTCCCCGAGGTCAAAGCGATCTCTTGCGCCGCACGTGCATTTCTATATCTATATCGAGTAAGATAATGAACACCAAAGTTACGTTACTGATATCGAACTATGTTCGCTCGGAAGTTCCTTACTGCGGAGTGACGGAGACTCGGTAATTTATAAACGTAGTGTCCTTGAACCCTTTAAATTAGTACAAAACGCGTTCCCGGGTGCAAAACGTAGAATGTGTGACCTGTGGCCATTTTATGTGAAAAGTATATATTTGTGTTTAGTGATCGCCGATTGGTCTTATTTGCTTGTGTCGTGATTTCTAGTAGATATTCCTTTAATGTAAAAGTTAAAGTGATTTGCTATATTCGATTGATTTTTTTTTTTTGTGACGAATAATTTGTATCAAAGGATGCCTTTTATAATGTGTAAGTAGTTATAAGTGAATCATGATCGAAGACGCATAATTATGTATAGCATTATTTTTCATTTCGCTTCGGGGCGTGATGCCTCAAACTAAGTATTTATTCTCATTCTCGGTGACCGATGAGAAAGTGCGTGCTGAAATCAAAGCTATGTGTGTGTACGGCTGATATGATTTTGTTCAACAATTAAGTTTATATTTGGCTATTTTGAGAAAAGGCATTTATAATTACAACTATTATTTTTTAATTAATTGTTACATTGTTGTATAAGTAGAGTCTATATTAAATTATTCTTTTATTATTTAATAGCACTAAATTATGCAAATGCATCGATCAGATATGTACTGAAAAATTAAATGTGAACTTTTTGATATGTGAAAGCAGTTTTTACTTTGAAATACAAGAGTGTTTGATTTAAAACAAATGTGATGACTTTTTTATCTACCCAAAATGAAAATTTCCATGATTGATTCACAGTTAACCACCATCTTTAAAGTGTATTTTACCGTGTATTATAAATTATCTTTAAGTTAATATAGTTTTTTTTTTTTCTCATCACAATTACTTTTTTAAGATAATGGGAGAACTGAAATAATAATCCCAAATTTCTCCTGCACTGTAATAAATTAATAAATAACACTGCATACATTTGTCAGTATACTTTTATGAACCGTAAATGCCTGTAGTTTTCTACCAACAATATTATGTAATGAGAAATAAAACACCATGCCTTTAAAGGAATTGATTTACATGTTGCATTTTTACCCGAACGATATATAATTGAATGATTTATAATCATCATTTCCGCAATTTCTCTTAATATTTTTCTGAAGACTGATTTGTCAGAAAGAGTGTATTAAATTTATGTTGTTGTTAAAAATATAATCCAGTCAATTTTCAAACATTCAAATCTTTTCTTTTATAAATGTCAGCCAATATTTTACACTTATTGAAAAAAAAATAACAAATGGGATCATTGTAACATATTTTAAAGTAATATTAGAGCATAGATGTAAACATTTGGGTGTTGGAAGCAGAGATATATTGTATGAATGTCATAGTGAAATCTCTTTATCACTAGAAAAATAATTTTTAAGTAGCGCGGAATAAATAAAGAATATATTTAACGTTATAATTCCCGCGTGGATAATTATGAAGGGCATTTATACGTTCGCAATTTGTACCTATCTCGTTCTGCCTTTCACTATCTCTTACAATGTATCTCTAAATAATGAGTTCGTCTATCTTTCAGTTGACATTTGTTGTAGATATGTACTTTTTGTTAATAAAAATAATAAGCTAAAATTGTTATCTTTCCAGTGAGAATTGGATGTTAAAGACTTATTACGTCGGACCAGTAGATTTCATATTCTTTTTTATGGTTAGTCCCACGTACGCCAATTTACTCATCAATTATTCCTGTGTATTAAAAATAAATATGAACTGTATTGAAATTGACCAACATGTTATCGAAATTTGTATTTACAATGAGTTTTTTTTTTTTGGAAGATTGTTGATGGATTTTTTCGCAACATACGAAGTTTGATTTACGAATTTGTGACTTGACCTTATATTATTATTTATTAATGTAAGTACAGTCGAATGTAGTAGTCCAAGCTGTACTATTGTATACTTGTAGGAGCTCAAAGTAATGAGGTTTCACTACCTTATAAACTCGCGATATAGTCTACACGTAATACTTCTCACTGGGTTCTATTCCAAAGCTTAAGTTTTTCTAACATTTCTGTTTTTGTTGCTTGATGCCAAAAATTAGCTGCAAAAAAATTATGATGTAATACCAATTTCCTTCTATTTAGGTTATATAAAAACGTCTATGGACTCTGCATAATAAATGCCCTGTACCAATAAGAGTCGGTATAATTTACTATCAAATTTAATCCTTAACATTTGGTTTTCAAGGTCTATTTTTAAAGACAACTGTAAACTTGAATTCATGGTTTATTAATTTGACCAACAGTTTCAAAAACATCGCTTTAGGCTTAAGTTTTATTCCCTTACCGTATATGCAGATTACATAGACGTTTATTATTACTCATTATTAATTAATCATAGAGTTAATGAGTAAATTCCATAATAATAATAATATTACTATAAGTGAGCTCTCCCTTGCTTGTAGGTGGATTGTTTTGAGAAATGTTACCTGGTATTCCGCAGTTGCAAAACCTTCTTATAGTCAATGATTTTAGAAATAAGTTTACTAATAAGAAAAAAAAAACTTTGTTTTTATTATTTATTTTGTTTCAATGGAAATTATATAGGTATATTTTTATTATTGTAACCTACATAGTTATGTTGGCTGTAATTTAATATTGATGTAATTAATATATGTATTTTTATTTCAAAACTTTTTTTTTATTTCAATGGTCCTGCACAAATAGGAAATAATAATAGTAATTGCAACAGTAAATATTGATTATTTATTAACTAACATATGTAAGCCACGAGTATATAATACACAATTATAATCTTATGCAACATGCTGTAATATCAAAGTAGTACAAATCTACTCCGATGACCTACTCGTCAAAAGTCAAAGTCAAAATATCTCTATCCATTAAAGTTCTTTTATATCTTCCAACATTTTAACAAAAAGAAGTTTAGAACTTTTTGCTGATATAAAGAACGAACAACAGAAACTCGACAGCAGTATTTAAATTATAATCTACGCAACACATATCAACCGTCGTAATAAAAAGTGGATAAAACGGTCATACTAGACAACAAAAAGAGGAATGTTCATTAATGCAAATATATGAACTATGGACAACGATTTTCATAATTGTTAAAAATTACTTTAAAAAAATCTCGGGTAGCTCAATGGTACAACAGTGTTGGTGGAATATTAGCGGAACATTGTGTGGATAACAATCACAATTGGGGATGTTTTTAAATTATTTCTATAAGATAGATATCACTATAGCATTGGGAATGCAAAATTTATTAAATATAATTAGATACTGTTCAATTTTAAAAATACATATGATACGTTTCTTAAACAGATCCACTCTTAACCAAATTTATAACTTGTTCATTTGGATAGTATATACTACAAATTCATTAATAATTTTCAAGATTTAGCCTTTCTCCAAACACTTTTTATAACAACTGACACCTAAAGATGAAATACATAACATTCATATATATATTTTACTAGCATCTTCCTATGGCTTGATCTACTTAAAACTACACAATCATTTTATGAGAAGGCAGTTCTTTAGTGGAATAAGGAATACACATATTAGTCTAGAGTACACCATGTCAAATTTCATGCGAACTCAAGCATTTCGAGCACAACTGAATAGCAAAAAAATTACATCCTCGCTTTCCTATTTGTAAGGGTAAATTTATCTAATTTCTGCAATTAATTTTGAATCAACAGTATAAGAGCCCTATTACAAATATAAACAAACTTGCTATGCAGCCATATAGATTGAACTTAGACGGCCATACCGTTGTAGTAGTTTTGCTGTTAAATAATTTTTATATTGTAATAGGTTATAAATTTATGCTTTTTTTTTTCCTTACGAAGTTATAATTATTCTGGTACAAATTTTGTTCAATAATATTATATAGCAGGAGAAACTCACATTGAAATATTTATTTATTAGCAGTTTTTGGTTAATAATAACAATTTTTATCGAGGCCGCTACGAACTATACGACAATATAAGAGATCACTATTTTTTATTTCATCTGTTTGGACCAGTAACCCATCCAGAAACCATTGCAGAACATCAAAATGTAATAGGGCCCTTAAAGTTTTGGTAGTAAACGGATTCTGTCAACTGCACTCCCAAAATACAATTTAGGTATATAATCTAAGTACAGAACACTTTAATTCATAGGACAATAGGGATCATAAGTAAATTCTTTTTTTGTCAAGTAGATTATTGGAAAATATGAAACAAATCAATATATTAGATTGATATATTAGATCGATACATTGAGTTGAAATGTCACACTGTAGATTATCTACACATTTGTGACAGTCTTTTCTACCAAGGCATCCACACTATTCAAACTGCCTATGATTCTTTCTATACTGCCATTTTTATATGGCTAATGGGGTTTTTGATATACAATTACTGTTACATTTAAAGCACTAGTTCAAATTGCTTGTAATCTTTTTGAGAACTAATCAAGACATTATACATAAGCTTATAAATATAGAGTATAGATACAGTAGTTAATAGTTGACATTCAGAATTGCAAAAAGAAAAAAAATTACTGTGATACATATACCATTAATATTAACAAAAATATTTAAATTATCTAACACATAACCAATCTGTTTATTAAATCATGCCGTAAAAATATCATAACACAAATATATATGTAGTTGGTATTAATACTCATGAAATAAACACTAACTTCCTGTGAAGCTTCAGCACATTTTGGGTTCACTTTCAGTCATCTGTAAAAAAGTTGCAAATGTGCAATGTTACAAATACCTCACGATCCTAATTTTTGGATTCATTGGCCATAATTTAGGATTAGCTTTGTTATAACAATTCATTACTCTATAGTAAAATTTATCAACTCGCAACATGTGTTTGATTATATTAAAGTTATAAGTTATAACAAACCATAAATTTAACACAAGTTTAATAAAACTTCAAGTTTAATGTATAGCAAAAGACACCATGAAAGAAAATGAACCCATGAAGCAACAATTATGGCCATCAAATTAAAGAGTTATAACATTATTTCATATATACTATTATCTCAGAAATTACAACAACTGTTCGTTTTCCGAGCAGTCTTATAAAACAGTTTACTGTGCATTGTCAAACTTTCTGATTTGGCCACCATATCATCGAGCTTCTCCCCTCTTTCTAATACGGCCTTTATAGTGTCATGTAAAATTATTTTTGTTTCATCCAATTCACTTTGAATCTTTGTCAAAGCATCAGCTTCTTTGGGGTTTTGATATCTAGCCAAATATTGAGGTAATAATGGAAAATCAACTGAAGCCTCATCGGCTGTAGCCCAGTTGCTAGCTGGAACAGCAGCTGTAAATTCATCAAGTATCTTGGTGATGAGGGTGTGAGCCACCCTGTTAGGATATTCATGATCAGAAATAAGCACACCAGCGAGATTATCAGCCCTCACATAAACATGTAACATGTATTCTCCCTCCTTGAATGACTGTCTTGAAGCTGCCTGTGTCCTCTCAACCATAGTTTTACTGACAAACATCATAAATTCTTGTACAGAACTCCTTTGAAAGAAACTGAAACTCTGCAAATCATAAGCTGACTTCAATACTGTTCCACTGTTAACTCCTTTATAAAGTACCAGTAGTGCATACACTTTTACCATGATGACTGTATTATTTGTTTCTTTCTATTACACAGCTATAAGTACACTGAAAACAATCAAATTGGAATAATTTAGTCACATAATCATTTCATACTTTCAATTATTAGGCAAATTTTTAAGAACTAGTATTAAAAATCAAATTTGGATATTTCGGTATGCAATCTTTAGATATACATTTGGAAAAGGAATGACATTTTCTTTTATTCTTAATACACACTTATAAAGGTACAAATTAAAGTGAAAGCAGTAGATCCCCACCTGATCGTTATGGGTAGTTTTGGTATTTTTCTAAAACCCAACTCAATGATCCTTCAAATTTAGGTTAGTATCACTTCTTTTCTTCTTCTGTGTCAAATAGAACAAACATAAATCAATATACTGTAAAGTTTCTTGAAAAATATGATATTAATTAAAAAAGCTGTGAAAGAAAATAGTTCTCTTTATCAAAGAGTACCACAAGACTTCACAGACTTAGTAGGTACCTATCAAGACTTATAATCACAGACTTAGTAAGGATCTTTTTTTTTTTTTTTTTTATATTTGGCTTGCACTGTTTGTGCTTAGCCATTGTCAAAGTTTGGGAAACGGAAACGAAAGGAAATAGAAGTTGGAACGGATTTTTTATGGGATAGGTTCAGGAGGCTTAGGAATTGGGAGAAGGAAGATATATTTACACAATTTTATAATACATATATAGAATAGATTAGAGTTTAATATTATTTAAAATTATATATGATACTATGCAATTATAAATGGATAGGTTATTAGTGGATAGTAAGGAAACGATTGATGTCGGGAAAGGAACACGGAGAGACAATAGGTCATTAAGGAAGACCGTGCGATCGTAACGTATACAAGCAAAAAAGATATGGTTTAAATCTCCAGTATCCATCCCACACTCGCAGGTAGCATCATTAATGATTCCAAGTTTGGCTAAATGTGCTGGAGAACAAACATGTCCAAGACGCATACGTGAAAGAGTACTTGTAGCAGTCCTTCCATACTTCGCTTTTCGAAACCAAGGTTTATGTAAGATATCAGGTTGAATTAGTAAATAGTGTTTTCCTTTGAATTTACTACTAGTGGTCCAATCAGTATTCCATTTGGTCTGTAAGTAGCGCATGGGCAAAGATAGCAGATCTTGGCTATAATTTTTATAAGGAAACATATCACCACAATTTACTGCATCTTTAGCTAGATGATCAGATATTTCGTTTCCAGTAATTCCACTATGGCTCGGTAACCATGCAAACTCCACCAAGTAACCTAATGAACAACATTTTAATAAGCAGCTCCTTATTTCAAAAATGACAGGTAAGTAAGAGCGATTACAGAATGGAAATTTAGATAAAGCTTGAAGAGAGCTCATGGAATCAGTGAAAATTATTGTTTTCTTGAGTTTCATTAGAATCACGTATTCTACAGCTTTTAATAGACCCAAACATTCTCCTGTAAAGACGGATGACTCTGGAGGAAGCTTAATTTTTTGTGAAATATTGTACTGAGAATGATAGACTCCAATACCGGTACATTCTGTAAAGGTGGATTTGGAAGCATCACTAAACACGTGATTATAGTCATTATAATTTGCCTCAATAACAGATTTAAATGTAATGTTCGCGTTGTTATCATCTTTAACAATTAAATCATATCGAATTAAAGGGGAAAGTTGTAAAGCATCAAAATTTACGCTAAATATGGGGAGACAATTGGATCGATGGGTAGGAGCTAAAAGATTTAAATATTTTTGATAACTTATTATCAAGCAAGGACGTGATTTATGGATCCAATAATTATTAGTTTCGATGTCTATATTCAAGGACTCAAGCAGCTGGAACAGAGGATGGTTAGAGAATTGTATAGCACTGAATATAAATCTATCAGATAGGTATTGACGTCTTAAACTCAGTGGGGGGTCACAAGCCTCAATCTGTAACGCATTTATAGGGCTAGATTTCATAGCGCCAATTATTATTCTAAGGGCCTTGGATTGGATGTTATCCAGTTTTTTAAGAGCACAAGTATTGCCAGGTTCTAATAGAAATGTGCCATAATCTAATAGACTGCGTATCAAGGCGTTATAAATTAATTTAAGAGATTGGGAATGAGCGCCCCACCAAACTCCGGAGAGGCATCGAAGAATGTTTAAAAGACGTTCAGTTCTGCCAACAATATAATTGCAATGCGCCACACCAGTGAGTTTTGTGTCTAAAAATACGCCTAAAAATTTTTTCTCAGGTTCAACCGGAATATTTACTTCATTATAAGAAATATTGAGAGGAGGGAGAATTCTTTTTCGTGAAAAAACCACTATTGAACTTTTCGTAGCTGATACTTCTAATCCATTAGTATCCATCCACTGTTTCAACGAACTTAGGGCAGTAGAGATATTTTCTGAAGCTATTTCAATAGAATGGTTTGTGGAATAAATTAATAGATCATCGGCGTATTGAAGAAGTTTAATATTGTTTTCAAATACATAGTCAATGTCATAAGTGTAAATGTTGTACAATAATGGGCTAAGAACGGAACCCTGCGGTAAACCTCGCCATACTGTTCTTTGTATCTCTATGTCAGAAGACACACAAATTGTAAGATAGCGTTCTTTTAAAATGTTTAAAATAAAAAAACATAAAATAGGTGGAACGTGTAAAGACTCTAATTTACATTTCAAAACAGATAATAAAACATTATCGTATGCCGATTTTATATCCAAAAATGCTGCTACCACCGATTTGTTGAACGAAAACGCAAGTCGTATATCTGTTGTGAATATACTCAAACTATCAATAGTGCTCTTTCCTTTCCTAAAACCATATTGGGTTTTTGACAACAGGTTTTGACTTTCCACAAACCATTCTAGGCGATTCTTAATGAGTATTTCAGCTAATTTAATCAATACAGATGACAACACTATGGGTCGGTATGAAGGAGGATCAATTAAAGATTTATTGGGTTTAGGAATGGGCAACACTACTTGTGACCTCCAAGATAAGGGGATATTGCCTGATAACATTGTTGTATTGATAAGTTTCAAATAATAGTTTAATATGTTTTCACTAAGATTAGAAAAGAAAGAGTAAGGTATGCCATCGCCCCCTGGAGCGGAATCTTTAGTATTAAGAACTGCGGCTTTAAGTTCAGGTAGTGAAAAAAGACAATTCAAGCCAGAGAGGTTATGTGAAGAAATGTTATCATTCTTGATAGAAAGAGGAACCCATGGTGGAGCAAGTTTTTTTAAAAAATCGTCAGCTTCAGCTGGGGTAACAGAGGTGGAGCTGGGAATAAAAGCGGATCTAAACCTTTTGATATTTTGCCAAACTACAGTAGGGTGTGTATTAGGAGAAATAGAACTACAGAAATTACGCCAGCTTTCAAATTTCTTCCGTTTAAATAATTTCTTAGTTTCCAATATAATTTTACATAGAGTATCATAATTACAGGTTGTCATATTATAACGATATTTTTTTTCTGCTTCCTTTCTCTTCTTAATAGCTATATAACAGTCACTGTCCCACCATGGGGGGGAAGGTATCTTAGTAGAACTACGTTTTTTCATTGGGAACACTTCTGCAGCAGCTTCACTCAATATATGCGACAAAGCATTAGCACAGTCATCTTCATTTCCAGATTTTACTACAGGAAGATAGGCTAATTTAGTGTCTACACAGCTTTTGAATTTATTCCAATCTTCAGAGTTTTTTTCTTGGAGCCTGTATTTCCTTGTAGATGAACGTAAAGGATGTTTAGGTTTACAAAAAGGAAGAGATATTAATATTGGGTAATGATCACTGCCATATGTGTATGGGAGAACATTCCAAGACAAAAGTGATGCTAATCTAGGTGAACATATTGAAAGGTCTACTGCACTAACATTTTGCTCAGGGTTTGTGCGACGCGTTGGCGATCCATCATTCAAGATACACAGATTATTTGAGTTTATAATGTCTAGTAGTTGTTCGCCTAGGTATTTAGATACTGAACTACCCCATGACTGATGATGTACATTAAAATCTCCCAAAACTAAAAATGGTTTGGGGAGGAATGAAAACAATTGATTTATTTCATCAAGAATAGATAATGAAGGATATGGTATATATAAAGAAACTATACATATATTTTCTACTTTTACAGCAATCATTGATAAATTATTCACATTATGTTGTGGTAAAGGTATGGGTTGGAAATTAATGTTATTTTTAATTAATAGAGCTACACCACCACCATCAGTGGTAAGTCTGTCTTCCCTTACACATTTATAGCCATTTATTTTAAAATTAAAATGAGGTTTAAGCCATGTTTCAGAAAGTGCAAATACACATGGATCATATTTATTAATTAAATATATTAATTCACTTTTTTTGCTGACTGCACTAAGGCAGTTCCACTGTATTAAGTAACTGGTTAAATTGTCCATTATTGGGTGTTACAAAAGTATTTAAAGGGGCAGCGTTGGACGGTAGTACTAAATTAAACTGTGAGAGTAAATTTATAAGAGCAAAGACAAAATCTTTAGGGAGTTGTGTTTCTGATAAAGCACTGTTATTATTGTTGTTATTATTTAATGCACATCCATTATTGGGAGATGGGATATCAAATTCCCTGATGAGGGATTGGTGAGCAACTTTGTCATACCCTTTAATGAGGATGGGGTGGGGTCGAGATTTTACAGGGATGTTTTTCCTATATGATATTGTTGAGGGTACACTAGGAGTCATATTATTGTAAGATGTTTCCTTTTTATTATGAGACGGATTGGATACAATGTCAGCAAAAGATTTACTTACTGGAGGGTGCAATTTAGATGCTTCACTGTATGAGACACAATTTTGGGCCATATACAATTTAATTTGTGATTGTCTTATGAACTCGGGGCAAGATTTATTATTTGCAAAATGGTGTCCTGAACATAAACAACAATAAGCAACATCCTCTGATACTGAACAAGACTCACCAGTGTGTTCTTGTCCACATTTAATACATCGCGGTTTTGATCTACACTGCATTTTTGTATGTCCAAAACGGCAGCAGTTATAACATTGAATGGTTGGGTATATATATAAATCTACACTTATTGAATTATAACATATAAAAATTCGTTTTGGAAGAATTTGACCGTCGAACGTTAGTACAACAGTTTGAGATGGTTTCCATGTAGGAGATCCATCGACAAATACTTTGTAGTTTAATCTTCTAACTTTTAAAATTTCTCCGCAACCTATGGGAACTGAAATATTAGACTTAACTTCTTCCAAAGACCATTCCGTGGGAACACCCCTTACCAAACCCATTCTTGTAATATTAAATGTCGGTATAAAAGCTTTTAAGTTATCGGAGCTCAGACTGCTATGTTTAATAAAATAATTGGCATCACTGTATTTGGAAAATGAGACTGCCATCTTATTGCGACCAATCTTTTTTACACTACCATCAATAATGTTGTTAAAAGGGTTTCTTTTCAAAAA